GCAAGCTTGGGAGCAGTGTCTGCTGTGCTGGGCTTGCAGCCTTCATCCTGATCCTCTGCAGCTTCCATCCACCCTCTGGCCATGCAGCAGCTGCTTCCAGGGCCTGTGGCTCATCCCAGCTGCAGCCTGGGAGCAAGTCCTGGCTGGGCGGGTGCTCCCTGGGTGTGAGCAGCTCCTGGGGTGAAGGCAGGTGGGAAAGCAGTGACTTAGCAGAGGTGCTGGGCTGCCCCCGGGAGCTGTGCATGGGTGCGGCTGGGAACGAGGTGCTGGGAAGCAGCGGGAGGAGGAGAAGCTTCTCCCAAGCAGGAGAAGCTCTGTTATTAACTGAGTAGCACCTAGGGACAGGCTCTGCTCCCGTGCTGGCTGGGCACAGGAGGCAGCCTGGCAGGAAGGCTCCTCTGGCCCTGCTTGGGCTGTGTAGGAAGGAGGGTTGGGTGGCCCTTCAGCTCAGTCCCCATCCTCCTGATGCCCAAACCTCTCGTGAGGTTTCAGCATCACTTGTCAGACTGAGTGCTAGTTGTGAGAGCAACTGCCCTGGGGATTTCTGCAAAGCCCCTGTGGGAGCTCAAGCTCTGTCAGGAACAGGGACCTGCAAGTTCTGGTAACTGCCGCCGCTTGCCCTGCTGCAAAAGGGTTTGGAGAAAAGTGGGAAGCTCCAGGTCAGGTAGCAGGTGGGTGATCCCAGCTGAAGCGCCTCATGCCGAGGTAGGTGAGGACCAGCTCTCGGAGCATTACAGGCATGCAGGCTCTCCAAGGCTCCTCCAACCTGCTGTCTTTGAAGAGCTAATGGCTGTGATTGTGTCACGCTCAAGGCAGACGAAAGGAAGGGAACAGGCTCCATTGGCTCTTTAATCCTCTGCCCGGCCTGATGCTGCTCCGGCGTCATGCTGCACCCGGGGTGGACCTGCTGGTTCCTGCACCTCATCTTCCCAGCCGCGGGTGCAGGAGCCCGGCAGGGCTGTAGCTGCAGAGGCCAGCACGGGCAGAGGAGTTACTAGAAGCACCAGTTCCCAAGGGGGAGGTGAAAGAGGCCAGAAAAAGGCCCAAACTGGGCTCATAACCTGGGATCCGGGGGGATCTAGGGTGAGGAGGGCACTATGGCTGCGCAAGGGGCAGGAGCTGGGCGTAGTGAGCCTGGAGAAAGGACGGGGAAGGAGAAAAGCAGATGGAGATCAAGAAATGGGGCATCAGCCCACAAATCTGGCTCCTGCTTTCAGTTCTGTCTGATTGCTTTGGAAAAAAAAATCCACTGATTGATAGGGAAAAATGTGCGGAGACACAAACAACAGACAAGGTGATGGTGACAGCGAGAGAGAAACCACCACACAGCGAAGCGCTCGGGGCTCAGAGCAGCCCCACAGCAAGAGGTGTGGGGCCGCCTGTGCTGATCCTGCAAACCCGCAAGATCAGAAAACCGGCTTCTCCCCCAGCTAACGCTTTGCCAGGTTGTTTCCTTCCCTCCTGCTTTGCTGTTCCAGCGACACGAGGCTGGGCTCTTGTGCTCCTTCCTGCTGCCGCTTCCTGCTGCGGCTCCATGAGGCTGCCATGCGCACAGATGCAGTGCAGGCTGCTCCAGCAAGACGTGGTTCATGCTTCCTTTGGGCCATTACATGCTGGAGAAAAGTATGTGGTGCCGAGCAGGGAAGCCTGCGAGCATTACTCACTGCTCTGCACTCCTGCACGCAGGGGGGAGGCTGGGCTGGGACACCAGGGACTGGAAAAGAGGCATTTTTTAGCTGCGGCCTCTCCATGGGTGCGTTTTGGAGGACTCAGTTCCTCCCCTCGCTATTTCATGGAACGGGGGAAATGCCCCGGGGCCTGTTCACCGGTCACGGGATTGGTGGGACACGGTCACAGACAGGTGTAGTTACTTGAGCCCTTCAAGCCACCAGCGATGGGGTCTTTAAGGTGGGAGTCAAAGACAATGTGCAGGGAATGGGCTGTCGCTTGGCTACCTCCTCCTTCCCGGCTGGGCACCTCCTGAGCCAGGGTTTGTGTGAGGAGCAGGGCTTAAAACAGCTACCAAGGGGCCAGTTCTCCCAAACGGGCCAGGCTGAGCGGGTCCAGCTCCATCGCCGTGAGATAAATGATTTCCCAGGCCCGCAGAGAGGGCAGGACTCGACCGTCTCCCTCCAGAGTCTTTGAGGAAAGGAGATGGCTATGGACCGGCCAGCCCGTCCTCGGCACCTTGCAGGGGCAGGCGGCTCGGCCACGCGTGGGATGAGGGCCGTTTCCTCGCCTTTTCCTTGCAAAATGCTCCCAACTTTCGCTCCCGCTGCCCACAGCCACTGGCCCTCCACCTGCAATTAGCTGGTGACCTGGAAAGTCACCTCGCTGAGCCGCTTATGGAATCAAGCCATGGCCAGGAATTAGTGATGTCCTTGGCAAAGGAGACTCTTGCAATTCTTTGGATTTAGCCCTGAAGGGCCTCCTTGTTCAGGGGTCCCCCGGGCTTGCAGGGGAGCACTTATTCACACTGCATTACAGGGAAATGTTCCCTCGTCGGTGGGGTCTCGTTGCTCTTCAGAGGGGCTCGTGCTCCTTCAGGAGAGGTGCAGGCTCTCTGCATGCCCATGGCCTGGGAAATCCCATGGCACTCAAAGGGAATTCCACTTCTTTGTGGAAGTTCCTTCTGAACATGCAGAGCATCAGCTTAAAAATGGGCTGAGGTGTCAGTTCTAGGCTAGAACTGTGGCTATTTTCTGTGCTAGGAGGAGAAGTCCAGGTCTTTGAAGTTGGTCCTTGCAGAGGGATTACTGTCCTAGAGCCTGCCCTGACTTGCATTATAGCCATCAGTAATCTGCTTAAGTAGGTCTTACTGTATTTGGCTCTATCAAGTATTCAAAATCACTTGCAGGGTAAAGAGAGCAGTTTACCTCAGCACACCAGGCGTTCTAACCACCGCAGTCCGAATGGGATTTATTCACACTGATAAAAAGATGAGGAATCTGGATCGTATCAGTGTTATCAATAATTAGTGGAGAGAAATGACCCCATGGCAAAAATCACCAAGTCAGTCTGGCCATGAACAGCGAAGAGATGTTGCCTTATGCAGAGCAAAATGACTTGACTCTAGACTCTACATTTGTTTGTTTGCCCTCCAGGACTGGGAGAGGGCCTTGCTTGCCTTCTTTGGGTTAAAACAGCTGCGTATTAGTCATCAGAAGATCAAAGTCTGCTCCAAGATGGCCCAAGTTGGAACTGAACCAAGCTCCTTGTGGAGGTTGCCATGAATGTCATGAGATATGTCAGCGTTTGGTGTGGCAGCTCGTTTCCTTCCTCCTCTGTGGTCTATCTGATGGCCTGCATTAAATCTGTTTCTTATCTATAGTGCCACATTGCTGATTTGCTTCATGCGTGGTGCGTTTGAACTCAGCTTCTCTAACAAAGCACTAAGAGCCTCGTTTCTCCTAGGAAGGTTCTTTAACCTCTCTCTGTTGTAGCTCACAAGTTTTGCAACTGCTGCACGGTCCACACATGCCCCAGGAAAGGTGGCAACCTGCAGCTGGTCCTAACACTGGCTGCTCCAGTCAACCTGCTCCTGCTGGGACACGCAGGCATCATCCAAGAGTCTGAGCAATGCCACGGCCTCTGCTGGCCCTGCACTGGCCATCTTTGCATTTCTAATTCGTGTTGCTTCCAGGAGGCTCAGCCCAGACTCTGGGCAGGGCTTTCACTCTGCATATTGGCCCTGCTGTAGATTTAATGGATTTAATGCACATTTGCATTGGAAATGCAGGCCTTCTCCACCCTGGTCTCTGCTTTCCCTGATGACTGCAAGCGTGGTAGGCGTCAAACAAGTCAGGCCTGACTGAAGAGTCTCTGGATTTAATTTGTCATTACCTTCTATTTAACTGAAACACACAACAAAAAACAAGTAGAGATGCTTTTATTGAGGCTCCAGCTCAGCTTAGTGCTCAGAGGGGTTTTCTTCTCTATCTCCAGATCCTTCTCACAGGCCTAGAAGCAAAAGAGTAACTCAGGACTTGAAGCACTCACTACTTCTAATCTAGACACTCAGTGCACCCCTGTTCTCCGCGTCCTCATTTATGGCCTTAAACAACAACAACGAAGCAGGAAGAAAAGCAACAACCCATTCATCTTCCTTTGTGGGTCATCTTTAAAGAGCACTTTCCATGAATAGTGACATTCCCAAAGTGCAACTCGAGAAATTCCAGCACCCTGGTCCTGCCTGTACTCGAGATTTGGGACCAGGAGCTCCGAGCAGCAGCACCAAGCCAGGAGCACCCAACAGAGGTAACTCTGTGCAATGGCTGAGGTCCCGCAGAGCCCCAGGAGGTCCTTCCACCTGCAAAGTGGGGTATTACACCTAGTACCAAAGCTGATTGAGTCTACATAGAGCCCAGATTCAGGATCATTGAGGGCAGCAGTGAATAAGGGGCCAGCTGATTTATATTTGTGGGTTCCCAGGTGGGGTGGATGTCCTGGAAGGAAGGGCCCTGAGGAAGTCATGGTCCCTTTGGTTGCGCTAACTCATTGAGGCCTCGTGTGTGTCATGTCTCTCCCACCTCAGTTCCCTCTGGGCTAGGAGGACACCAAGAACAGACAGGGGGTTATTTTCTAGATGCTTCCAACGCTGCCAGCATTGCTCGGCCAAGTGAGTCAGTGCCGCGACCAGCTTCCCGCTGCGCCTCCAAGGCACCATTTACATTGCGGCACTCGACTCAGGGCTTTGTGGGGTGATGAGCACCTGCGAGCAGCCCTGCCACCTGGGGCTGGGACAGAACCGGCTCGATGGCGCCTCTGAGGATGGCGTTTCGGGGCAAGAAATGGCGTTTCGTGATGGAGGGAGCCGGCTCCCAACATGGCCCCCGCCGCTCCCAAGATGGCGGCGGAGGGGGTTTCTCCCCCCCCTTCCCCGTACCGCTCCCAAGATGGCGCCGAGGACCGGCCTCCTTTCCCGCCCTCTGCGCAGCGGGGCCGGGGCCACGCTCAAGATGGCGTCGCGGCGCGGCCTAGGCAGGCGCAGAGGAGTGGCGAGCCGCGGAAGCCGGGTCATGGCAGCGCCGGAAGAGGCGCGCGGCGGCCGGGCCGGCTGGGAGGCAGGCCGGGAGGCGGCCGGTTTGAGCGGCGCCCGGCGGCGGCCGCGCGGCGCCGCCGCCATGTTCCGCTGCGGAGAGGTGAGGCCGAGGCCGCGGCGGGATCGCCCCTTCCCGCACCCCAAGGCTTTCCTCGCCTTGTTAACCCGTCCCCAGCGCTTGCGATATAAAGGCAGGGCACCCGTGGGTGCTGCGGAGCCGACCTGCCTTTCTGCTTTACGTATATATTTAAAATATATACATTATATATGTATATATGTGGGTGAATCCATAGAGGCTCTCAAAAGGTGAGCGGTTGCTCAAGTCACGCTCAGAGGGAAGGAGGGGAGAGAAGGATGTGCCACGCTGGGAAGGAAGCCGGGGGGAGAGTCGCTTTCCCGGTTACCAAATAAGCAGCAGAAGTGGTTTGAATGTAAGAAGTGTTTTCCATTTTAAAGCAGTCCATAGCACTGCAGCTTTGGGCGCAGCTTCGCTCTACCTCGGTATTTTTTAAGTGGAAGATATTGGCTTCTCCACGTACTTCCTGGTTAAGGTGGTTCTGGTTCCATTTTGTCCCTCTTCATCCCAAATTTCAAGGTGTCTGTTCTTTCCCGACCTCTGAAGCTTCTGAGCTAGTAGGTTCTCTTTTTTTTTTTTTTTCCTTTATTTCCCCCCATCCAGGAGATTGTAAGTGGGGAGAGCGAGGAGGAGAGTAACGGTGTCAACTTGATGGAGTTCTCTGATGAGATCCTCCTGCACATCCTGAGCTACGTCCCTTGCACAGACCTTGTCCTGAACGTCAGGAGAACCTGCAGGAAACTCGCCACGCTCTGCCTGGACAAGAGCCTAACCCACACCGTTTTACTGCAGAAAGACTATAAGGTGGGGAGAGCAGTTTGCTGCTGCTGTTAGTTCTGATGACAAATCTGACTCCTGGAAAAGTTTCTAGGAGTAGGATTTTTCTGTGCGTCTCTATAAATGTGCTGCTCTTAAATTCTGAAAGCAAATAAACAATAAAACGTTTTTTATAAAAGCATTTGTTTTCCTCAATGCTTTGTTAGAAGAGCTTCCCATTCCCTTAGTTACATAAAATACCATCAATGAAAACTCCTAATTTTAGGTTCTGGAAGCTAAAATGAGAATAAATCTGACACACTCTTGTTTCAGTATGAGTTTTCGGAAATACCTGTATGTCTGCTGAAATAACTTTCCAGTTAGAAAATGGAGATTGTCCCATTTCTGTTACTTGCTGAAAAGATTCAGCCTCACTGGTCAGTACTGCAGACACAAACTGAGAAGGTAAAGGGAGCATAAGGTTAACTGGCTTAATTTGCCATGTTCTAGACGCTTATGAGCTGTATAATAACTCTTAGATTGTGCTAGTGCTTGGAAACATTTGATTGAGGCACATAATCCGAATGCAGGTTGTTGTCTCCATAGGAATAGGAAACTGAGTCGGTATCTGCTGTTCCCATATGTCTCATTGAACCTGGTTTTGTTTAAGTACAGGTAAACAAAGACAAAGTGAAGCAGCTGATGAGGGATATTGGAAAAGAGATTTACCAGCTGAACATGGCCGGGTGCTACTGGCTGCCCAGCTCCTCTATTGATCATATAACGCGGTGCAAGAACCTGGTGAAGCTGAACTTGTCTGGGTGCCACATCACCTCTCTGCACCTCTCCAAGACGCTGTCCACGCTGCAGCAGCTGCGCTCCCTGGCAATAGACGTCAATCCTGGTTTCGATGCCAGCCAGCTGAGCAGCGAGTGTAAAGCCACTCTGAGCCGCGTCTTGGAGCTCAAGCAAACCCTTTACACTCCGTCCTACGGCGTCGTTCCGTGCTGCACCAGCCTTGAGAAACTGCTGCTGTATTTTGAGATTCTTGACCACTCGCGGGAAGGTTTTATGCTTTCTGGACAGCTAATGGTAGGTGAGAGCAATGTCCCTCATTACCAGAATCTTCGTGTCTTCTACGCTAGGCTGGCTCCTGGCTATGTTAATCAGGAGGTGGTGAGGCTGTACTTGGCCGTGCTGAGCGATCGGACGCCCGAGAACCTTCATGCCTTCCTCATTTCTGCTCCTGGCAGTTTTGCAGAAACGGGAGCCACTAAAAACCTTCTGGACTCAATGGCTCGAAATGTACGTCTGGATGCTTTGCAATTGCCCAAAGCTTGGATTAACGGCTCTGGCCTCCTGCAACACTTGAAGTTCAACAACCCTTTCTACTTCAGCTTTAGCCGGTGCACCTTGTCGGGTGGTCAGTTGATCCAGAGGGTCATGAATGGTGGGAAGGATCTTAAGAGCCTGACCAGTTTGAATCTCAGTGGCTGTATTCATTGTCTGGCTCCGGAATCCTTGTTTCGGAAAGCAGAAGATGACATAGACAGTAGCATTCTGGAAAGTCTAGTAGTGTCCTGTTGCAACCTGAGGCACCTCAACCTCTCTGCAGCTCATCATCACAGCTCAAAAAACATAGGGAATCATTTGTGCCAGCTGCTGGCCAGACTAAAGCACCTGCTTTCGTTAGCACTGCCAGTCTGCTCCATAACAGATGTTGCTGCAAACATGGAAAAGCCTCCCATGCAGTCTAATGTGATGCCCCAAACGTTAGGAAAGAAAGTCCGGATTGGGATACAGACGTACTCAAACCAGAAGCCACATTCTTCAGTGTTCTGGACTTTGATGGGAAGCCTTCCGTTTTTGGAAAACTTGGAAATAATCGGGTCCAGTTTTTCCTCTGCCATGCCCCGCAACGAGCCAGCAATTCGGAACTCGCTTCCCCCTTGCATCCGGGCCCAGAGCGTGGGCGATGCCGAGGTAGCTGCCATCGGCCAGGTGACTTACCTGCAAAGCCTCACCTTAGCCCAGCTGCCAAATATCCTTACTGGCTCCGGACTCGTTAGCATTGGGTTGCAGTGCCAGCATCTGCGGACTCTTTCGCTGGCCAACCTGGGCATGATGGGGAACGTGGTCTATATGTCTGCTCTCATGGACATGCTGAAACACTGCAAGTGTTTGAGAGATCTGAGGTGAGGGGTCATCACTGAACTTCTTTCCTTCTTTGTGGACCTGTAGTACGTGGTCATGTTATTTTTACACTAGCCAAGCATTTCTATTCTGGTCAAAAGTAGCTGAGTTTCAAATATTGAGTGTTTTTCTTCCTGAGGTACGGAGAGGATTCAGGTTTTGTCTTTTAAGCACTATTTCAAGCATATAAAGTCCATGCTGCAGCTTCCTTCCTTTTAGCTGAGGAAGAGTGGATATAACTGGTTTGTGAGCTAACAGTCTGCCAGGGCAGGCTTAAATGCTATATGTCTTTCCTGACTCTTTGGATTGGTATATGCTTAGATCTCTGGAAAACTTCCAGGGAGGAAGACACTCCTAGGATATTAGTTAATGTTGAGATCTCAGATTTCCCACTGAGATATTTTTCTACCTTTGGCTTCCATTGAAACTTGCTGAAGCAAAGAGCATGGCTTCTTTGCAGCAGCCCATGTGAACTTTGCAAGTGTTGCTCTTTAGAAAGATGAGTATTTGGGTATTTTTTGTGTGTATGTTTGTTTATTTGCTTTTTCTTTTGAGTTTCTGTTGATGAAATCTCTAGAGCTGAGTGCCCTGTTGCCCTCCTTTGCCCATAGAACAATGGCCCAGCAGCAACAAAGATAAGGCCGTGTTCTTGGGGAACGCTGCTTTGATTGCAGCTGGTTGTGATAAAAACTCCTTGCTCATCAGCCGAGGCTGGTGCTCACGTGCACCTTCCTAATGCAGAGCAATAGAAGGGAGTCAGGGTAGCTAAACTTCAAGAGGATTTTCCTCCTACACCATTTTCCCCTTTGTAATGGACAGTAAGGAGCAGATTGGCCTCCCTCATGGATGGGGTGGCAGCTGCTGTTGATGGACCTGCTTGATGCCTGGGCCTGTGGACACTCTCCCATGGGTGTCTGGTTAGAGGTGCAGACATCACCACTTGTTTCAGGCCCTGTTCTTTCCAGAGATCTTGAAATGGAGGCTAAACGTGAGGCAGCCTAGAGGACAAACAAGGGTGTCTTCCTGCAGTGACAGCCAGGCTTTGCAATGTAGGATGTTTTTTCTCTATCTCAGTAAAGTGTAGGAAGTTTTTGTGGGTTTAAAGGGTTTTGAGTGTTTGCTACTTGATGCCTAATAATGCAGCTTCTTTCGCATTTAACTATTTCTCTGCTTCTGCCTTTTGTCCTCTCCCCAGGAAGGGTTTTTCTCTAAGCTAGGAATGGGTTGTAGGTGGTTTTCCAAAGCAACATTGTCATCTAGCGCATGAAAGGGGGTACTGCAAGTGTGCTTCCCTTGTCACATCCCCTGGCTGACCAGGAAACCTGCTGTGGGAAGGCAGAAGCTCCTGGGCTTTTTGAGCTAAGCTTCTTGTGGACCAATAAAATTGGAGGAAAAAAAAAAAAAAGGGGGGGGGGGGGAGGTTTCCAATTTCCTTCATGTTCATTTTAAGCTGTTACCCAAAGTGGGCTGCTTTGTCCTTACACTGTTACTTGACCATCACTCTCAGGGTGGGACTTTAAGCTGCATTTTATCAATTAACAAGATTAAGTTGCTGAGATACCTCCCCATGCTACAAACGCTTGCACAGAGATTATCTGGCTCAGGTGGGGACTGAGAGCACGTTGTCATCTGGTGGATTAACCATCTCGGAGCTCATGGCCTCTCTGACCCAGTGACTGGGATTGGGGAGCCCGAGGTCCTGTAGTAAATCCACGTGAAGGGTGAGACCAGGTTCTGCTCCCCTAGACCCGTTTGTGTGAAGGAACAGTCCAGTTAGGCTGCTGGTTGAAACCTGGACCTTCACTGATCGCATGGGGCTTCACTCTGCTCCTTTATGGTCTTCTGGACCGTGATGGCAGACTCTGTGTAGCAATAATAGCAAATTTGGACTCTGTTCTCCAGGCCTAGAGATGCTCAAGATGAAGCTTGGGTTGAGGATGATCCTTGCTACAGGAGAGCAGTAGCTTAGGTCCTTTTCCCTCCTCTTTTGTCTGGCCAGGGAAGGCTGGTGGTGGTGGCCTTGACTCCCAGGCAGGAGTTCTGCATTACCCCGGGTGCCTCATGAATTTTTCACGCCTGCTTCTGTCTAGGCAGCACACAGTGTGGCCGGTTTGATCAGCATTTGGTGCACAGGAGCAGTGACTCCCCAATCCACATCAGCCACTTGCTGCGTGCCAGGTAGCAAAAGCTGTTATTCCTGCCCTAAGGGTGGACCTGTTGACCAAATCTAAGGTCCCTCTTACCAATGTGCTATTGTGGAGAACTGGTTAAAAACACAGCTACTCTGGCAATGCCCTGGGGGCTCCGGAATTCTGCAGTTTGGGGTCTTTCTGCATTGATATTTTATTAGTGTCTCTGCAAGAGGCTTGAGCTTGCAGAGCTATATGTACGTGCATCAGTGATATGCAGGTCAAAGAAGGCTATTGCACGTGCAAGAGGAAGAGGCGGTGGGAGAAACTGGTTGCTCCATTTACCAAACCCTGTTGGATATTCCATCTTCCCTCCCGTTTTCCATCCTCCCTCCGTTTCGGAAGCGCTTCCCGCACCGCTCGCCCATCGCCTTGCCCTTGTTTCTCTTTGCAGGCTAGAGCAGCCCTACTTCAGCGCCGGCGCCCAGTTCTTCCAGGCCCTGAGTCACTGCTCCTCTCTCCAGCGCCTCTGCATCGTCTCCCGGAGCGGCACCCTGCAGTCTGACGCAGTGATGTCATTCATGGCCAACTGCCTTGAGGTCATCATGTGCCACATGTTTATGGGAGAGTCTCTTACCGTTTGCAAAAATCTCCAGCAGTCTCTTGTCCGGAGGTGAGTGCACCAAGGGGTCGATAGGGGATTGCTGGATCTGCTCGAGATTTATCTCCGTTTCCTTGCCTGCCAGCGTTTATATTGCTTGGAGCACTCCTTTCAGGAAGCCACTAGGTACTGTGTAACTGCTTGGCACGTGAGCTAGCCTCTCATTAAAATGAGAGTCAATAAGTGAAATATTTGAGGGTATCGTATGAATTTTTGATTCCATTCCCACTCATCTTCTCTGCAGTTCTATTAGGGCAGAGCTGAAGCTCTGTATGTACAGCTCCATCATAAATCAAACAGCAATTTTGTGTAAACAAAACATCTGGCGGCGTTTTAAGTACTGAGAGGTTTGACCTTGAAGCTTTCCTCCTTTCCCACAAGTGACTAAGATAATTCTGTCCTCTAATCACTTGTAAATGTCACTTACTGATAATCTCCCGGCAGCGCAACTCAAAAGCCTTTAAAGGGTTGTTGTGAAGGCTTCTTTAGGGGAGGGGGGAATGGTACATGCTGCCTTTGCACGTTTGGCAGTTCTTAAATGCATCTCGCCTGGCCCCTTGCCGTGTTCTGAAGCTCACATGGTGGGAAGCATTTGTGTGCGAGCCGTGAACTGCATTTGAAAAGGGAGCTTTTAATTACGCCTGGCATTTTGAAATCTTCTAATAGCAGCAGTCATCTTACAAAATATTTCCCATGCAACAGACTCCCCATTATTATTTTTCTCCTATAAGGCATTTTTTCCGCCTTCAGTCTGTTTCCTTTGTCACCTACTGTTGCTTTCCTCTGTTAAGCTCTAATAAAAATTTCAACTCGCATGGCATTATTACTGCATCCTAAAGGGTGCTCCTCCCCTCCAGCCTTTCTCCAGCTTCACCCTGACTTATTAGACTTGGCTTGCTTCCTAGAATCAAATCCAGAAGCGCCTAGGACTGTATTAGCTTCCTATCAAACTGCATACAAGGTTGTTCCTGCCTCTAGAAGGCCTGTGCTCCTCTGGGAGAGTGATTGTTGGGCACATCCAAGTAAATTCCTTGTGATGTGTCAAGGATGTCTTGGATTTGTTTTTTTACAGGGCTTCGTATCTCTAAAAGCATTCCTTGGTCTGATGCAGTTGTGCTTTGAGGATCCTTAGGAAGAAGCAAGTATCCACAGTTCACGTTTTCTATTCTAACACCCATGTGAGATGCCCTTGCAGCACTGGCCCAAAGTTTAATGCCCCTTTACTGGACAGAAGTATGTTGTTCTGCAGGCTTTTTTCCCCCTTCTTTTCCTTGGTGTGTATGAATCCCAACTACACTCTGCACTTCTTAATAATTTAAACCCTGGGAACCTTCCAAAGAGCAGACGATGCCTTGTGGAAATGTTAAAAGCTATTTCTATTTTGAGTAACAATTCTGGCTGTCAGGCTATTTTTCTTCTTCCTTTGTATTTTATTCGTAGGGACATTTGTATGAAAATATTTTTTTCCTCTTTTTTTTTTTCTTTTGTTTTAAGAGAGCATCTGCACCCACTGCTGATTCTGCACCTGAAGTCAGAATCCTCTGTGACACAGTAATTGGTGGCTCTGGAAACGATTTTGATGTCACGTAAGATTATGACTTCAGGAGGGGGAGCAGATGCTCTCCTAAGCAACCAAGATCCTGCCCTCGTGCAACTGTCTGTAGGAATAAAATGCAAGGAATAAAATACAGAAAATGATGTGTAAGCAAAGCCCGGAGCTTTCCATGAGCCATCAGCAAGCCTTTAACCATGTGACTTTTCCAGTGATCCCGTTCCTGTCCTTGCACAAATATGCCTACAGATGGGGTCAGGAATTGACTTTCTCTTGACTGCATTTTTATCTATTACTTCAAGGGCGAAGAGACATGTCGTAAAACCCCTGAGTGCGTTTTCTTGGTAGCTAGTTCATTGCTTAAACCTGCGGATGAGGGCTCGGGTTCACACAGCATGGCTTTAAAAATGTGCTGCTTGCATGGCTCTAATCCAAGCCCTGACTCGTAAGAGCCAATTGGGCAGCGGGCTTGAAGTTGGATATTCTGTGCCAGAATGAGAGAAGGGCATTTATGTATATATAAATAGATTTATTATTTGGAATTCGTGCCGATGCTGCATGTAATGAAAAGGGGGTGGGAAGGGGGAAAGGAGAGCGGAGCTGGCGAAGCTGGAGCCGTCCTTTGTTTGCCCCCCTTTCTTTGAGCTGGGGGAATCGAGGCGTATTCCTCAGGTCCCACTGAGGATTAGGCTTCCTGGTTCAGGGCCAGCTGAGATGACCTTTTCTTAGGCTGAGAACAGCCAAGGGATTGATGGGTTTTGACCAGGGAGATGTGGCTTAAGTGACTTTTATTTCCCCTCTTTTTGGAGGGGATTGAGGAGCTGGAAAGGCCTAGGGCTGATCGTGCACCAGCAGTTTGCTGCAGCCTGTAGGACTTGAAAAAGCAACCTAATGCAGTACGGGGTTGTGTTTTCCAGACATGGATTCACAGGAGGGATCAGGTCACAGCAGAGACCGGGATTCTCAAACTCTTGCCCATAAAGTACAGATAGTGTTTGTGTATTTGCACCATTGCCTGCCTGCTGAGAGTTGCTCTCGCATCTTTTAGTCCTGTGTCAGCTCTAAACCGAGTCCCATGTTGTCCATTTTTCCTGCAGGCATTTTGCCGGTTGAAATTTGCTGCCATTTGATGGGGGTTAGTTTTCATATTTAAATCATTAAAAGCCTCTGATTCCATTTTGCCTCTTTTGCAGTGAAACACAGTAAGCGGAGCCGAACTCACCGGGAGCTCTCATCAGCAAACACGAGGCTTGCAAGGGCAAGGTCTCCTCTGAGCTTTAGAGAAGCCTGTTTCCCTGTGGGCAAATATATCATTGCAGTGTTTTCTTTATTCTTTTTTTTTTCCTCCTGTGCATATGGGAGGGATGATCTCCCTTATGGTTCAGGGACAGGCTCCGTGCACAGAAGGGGAAAAAGGGCCCAATGGGTAGAGCAGGAAATGTGGCTTGAGTGATCCGTATCCCTGATCTTCCTTGGATTTTGCACGTGACAGTGGCCTCATCTCAGAGCTTCTCTGTAAAGCAGCATTCCTGTCCTATCACATGGTGCTCAGCTGCTGTCACGCTTGGGATGGAGGCAGATCTGGTGCACAGCGTTTCCCCCTGTGCCCTCGCACTGAGATTTTGTCAAAACACTCAACTCCAGGCTGAATGGCTTAAATAACTCACGTCAAAACCACTCGAGTGCTAATTCCGAACACTATAAGGGACCGCAGTCCTAAGTTCCGACGCCTAAGCTTGGAGGCTCAAGCCTGAGCCCAGTTCTGTGCAGGTGACCTCCACGAAATGGAAGATTTACTGCTCATTTTGGGCTGACTTGCTGTGATTCCGTTGCGATTTGGACAACTAGTCAGTAGATGGAGCTGTGGCCTGCAGCAGGCGCCCGCCTGCTCAGTGCTGTCCTGATGGCTGCTCGCTGAATAATCTTGTTTATCCGCCTGTATTTCTATGCCCCAGAAATGCTGTGGGGAAGGGAATTAGGATGACTCCAGCGTAGCGCTGCTGCACGGCACCGGTGCCGCAGCCGTTGCGGTGGAGCCCGGCAGCAGGAAAGGGCTTGGGAGAAGCCCCCGGGAATGCACGGAAATGCATGGAAAACATCAAGGACGAGCTTTCTTTTCCATTGGGTTGCTTTGAATTTTTCTGGGCTTGGCTTAAATGTTTGTTATTGTAATGCCTTCAAGGGCTCGGTGCTACCAGACAATAGAAGCCTGTGAAAAGTCCTTGGAAAAACACCTTGAAACGAATCAAGAAAGCAATAGTAGAATTAAAAAAAAATGCAGAGCGTGAGTGGTGCCATTAGGGATTCTTCGTTTGCAGCAGGGCGAGTGTCGAGGTGCAGAGCTGAGTTGTGATTTATAGAGATGCAAGGGGAGCTGAGCCATGGTCTGGGCGTGAGGGGCTGCAGTGCAGCTGGAGCGGCTCTTGGGCAGCTTGGGGGGTCTCCGGCAGCCCCTCCGTCCCCTCCTGCATCCCAAGGAGGTGGTGCAGAGGAGCCAGAGCTCGGATCCTGCCACAGCATCCGCTGGGATTTGATGCTGGGTTGGAGCTGCGGGGCTTGGTGGTCCCATCTCCGCTGTTGGCTGCAGGGGAAGCCAAGTCTTGGCTGTTGGTCCCCAGCAAATGGTTCTTGTGTGACAGCATTGCTGTGCCTGGTATGTAGATAGCTCTAGGGGTAAATCCACTCCAGTGCAGTGGATTTTCCTATTTTTAGGACAACCTGCCTGTGCTGGGGATGCAGGACCTGGAGAAAGAGAGCTACAAACTTAGTCTTCCTGTTGCTGCCAGTGTCAGGTGTGAGCCCTGCTTAGTTCGAAGGGACTTTCACAACAAGCCTCGCACCACTTTCCAGGAATAGCTGCTTCAGCCTTAATTAGATCTGGCTATTCCGACTGCTCTAGCGTTGTCTAAATTCTCCCCTGCTTGTCATTATCCTTCTAACATTAAATTCTTGCCTGGATGTTTTCTCTTAAATTCATTCCCATAGGCCTGGGAGGCTGTGACAGCCACGACGTGGAAGGCTTGTGGGACCCACCTGGGATTTGGTTGCAGAAATGGGACTTGCAGGTGGGAGCCTGGGGCTGAAACTGCGAGTGCTTGGGAAGTGCTGAGCAAGCCAGTCCTTCCTCCAGTGCTTGGCACGGGATTAAATCATCACAACTGAGATTTTACTCACCTCGGAGCTAAGCTTTCTCCCCTCCCTTATTACTTCTGCCCTGAAAGTCCCTTCAGTTTCTTCCTCGTAAGCTGATTTATTCTTCCTGCCCTGGTTCTCGTTTTTGGCTGGCCCTCAGAAAAAGCCCCTGCGGATGCTCCTGTTGCCTTGCAGAGCGGCTGGGAGGGGGCTGTCAGGGCAGAAAACAGGTGGAAAATCTCTGAATTCTGCCAGTTCCTTCCTGTCCCTGCTGCACTGCCCACCTGACTGCCGCAAATGCATTGACACTGCAAAAAGCTGCTATTAC